AGGTGGTGGAAACATTTTTTGGTTCCATTAAAGTGACTTAAACTAGCATGATGTATCTTCATATTCTGAAGTACTTCCTTTTGACCACTTCAGGATGAAAGTGGTGTTTCTTTGTCTGATGCATCATCCCTGTGATAGCATGTGCTGCCCTATGAAGGGTGTGAGCCACAGCACTGACAGCATGGTTTGGAAAAAGGTAAGCATATCTGTTGTTGAACGTATCGAAACAGAATCCAGTTTATTCTGGTGGGAATAAGCTGGTTAGTTTGTGGCCCTTAACAGGAACAAGCAGTTGTTAGTATACCAATACTTTCATACCATAGCTGCTGTGGATTATCATCTCCTGTGTTGCGCAATTTTATGCTCATTTGTATCAGGTGAAAGTCAAGCACAGAAACTGAGAGCAGAGAGCACATCTGTAGAATAGAAGGTTGCTATTTTTACATTTTCCAAACTAGAACTGCACTTTATAATATTAATGTCCCCTCTTCTCTCCCTGTCACATTTGGAAAGATAATAGAAAACTGCATTTCCAAGGAGTATAGAATGTAGAATGCTCTAGAGTTTCAGGCTCATTCAGTTGGATTGATTTTACCATAACTCTCTTCAAAAATAAGAAGCACTTGTGATAGCTGAGTGCATTGAAGCATAATGGGTTTAATTTATGTGCAGCTGGGCTGTAACAATACTCTGTGAGCTGTTACAGCTGTGCCTCTCAACTGAATGGCTTTGTACAAGCCCCTAGTTAGTGATTAAGCTCCACACAGTAGCTTAACCTGGAGAAATTCACAGTGTTTTATGAACACCTTCTGTGCTAAATGGCAGCAACTCCTCTTTGGAGGCAAATCTATTTGCCCACAAAATGGGTTCATCAGAAGGTCTGTTAATATGCGTGATGGAGTATAGCTGCATCTGATAGACCGCCATCGTGTGCCAGTTGCCACTTCACTAGATTGTGGATGTTCTGTTTGTCAAATTAATTTTGGCTGTACTAAAAATTGGGTAATATGGGCTTGTCCCACAAGGTTTGATGATGATGCCCTGACTGAAATAGTTTTTCCTTTAAAGGAAAACATTGCAACAAATGAAGGACTATCAAAGGGAAGAGATTGAGTTGTATGGCCTCATTTGTGCTGGCTTTGCCTAGTGGAGGTCATAGAAGATTCTAGTGGTAAAAATAAAGACATTTAGAATAGATTTGTTCTAGAGAAGTCAGATGGCCTTGCAAGGGTTTCATATTTTAAGGTGGCATATCAAGACTTTCTCCTCTGTAATCTTTGTGGTCCCTCCTTCAGATCCATGGTTTGTTTTTTTTTTTCCATTTTTACAATCAGTTTTATTGCCTGTACCTTCATTTAAGCTGTGGCTGGAGATGAAGTAGGTGTTGTGGGCAGCTTATGAGCAGACGTGACATGACTCTCTTGAGGTCTTACATAGTTTAGCATATTTGCATGGATGGGTTCCCACTGGTACAGTGTTATTTAGTATAAAAACAGGCTGTATGGGACCCTACAAAAATGGGAATTCATGAAACAAAAAGTAAAAAGTTTAGAAGAATAGCAGTCACCTATTTGTTTTTGGGAAGTCGTGTAATATCATGCACAGCTATGGAGAGCCTGGCATGGTAAGATATATACATGACCTGGAGAAAATCTCAGAGAAGAGAAATATATTTTGGAGAAATATTAGGAATCCTTCCATCTTATATTTGTTACAGTTACAAGTTGTAGGCTCTCCAGTCTTAAAATGTGATCAAGAACGAGACACAGTTTGTTAAAATAATATCTGAAGTGTATATCAGGTATTGCCTGAACTTGTTCTCACTTCTTTCTATTATCCCTGGTTGCTGTGCTGGAGCCTACAGTTTGTCATTCCTTCATCTGTCTGATGCTAGGGATTGTATGAGATGATCCCTTAGGATGTAGCCTAATGAATATGCTAAGAAAAATGTGCCTGATATAAATGTCTGTCTGAGAAACGGCAAGAGTATATTTGTCTTGATTGCCTGTGATTATTTCCAACTTCTTGTTTTCCAACTTCAACATGGTGAATAAATGTTTTTCCCCTTCTTGTTTTCCCTGGTGTCAGAAATCCCAAAGCAGAGCTTCTCTTGGTTTCCTGTTTTCTTGGCAAGGCAGCATAACCTAGTCATGTCCCCAGGGAGGTTGCCCTTAACATACTTACAGGGCCTGGGCTTGAGGAAGGGAAGCGCTACGGGGTAGAGATCCTGTGGCTCTTGAGCCATGTATGTTTTGCATGCAGTTCAAATGTGCCTCCCATGCTAGGTAGGACACAGGAAGAGCAGCAGTGCTGTGGCTGGCTGTGAGAGAAAGCAAGCTAGCAGGGGTGGATGAGTCCGTGTTCTGCCGCTGCAGAGTCCAGCAGCCTTCCCAGCTCAAACTTACAGAAGAGCAATGTAACTCTTGGGGAAAACTACTAGTGTCTGCCTGTGGAATGCCTTCTCTTCTCCATTTTTTAAGGATTATGGGACACGTGTCTTGGGGTTTTTGGCTCTCTGAGGGTTTTAGTATATGATTCATAAGGTTAGAGGCACTGGATATTCCAAATGGCATGGACTAGCATGATGTTAATGCATATCTTCTCCTCCTGATTAGTTACAATGTTTAGAGAAAGCTGTTTTTTCAGTACTAAAATGGCTGAAATTCTCTTTTTATAGATTTTAAAAAAGCAGTAAGGGAACTTTCCTTGCAGTTTTTGTAACATTACATGTAAAAATGTACAAAGATGATAAGTACTCATAGGTCACTTCAATACGGGATAAAAGCCTATCTGATTTCATAGGTAATTAGAGAATTATGTCATTGTTTAAAGAGCTTAAATGATAATCAGAGATCACATAGCCTTTGTTAGGACTAGAAACTAATTAAAAGAATGATCAGTCTCTGAGACCTACATAGTTAAAGGCTTTAGAGTAATGGAATGCTATTTATTCTGAAAGTTTGCAGTATCACTTAGAAATTCTCAAATATGGATAACATTACTTGGATTTACTTTACACTATACAAGTCATGTGTGACTCAAAATTTAGCTGAAGTGTGCTGTCAGGTGGTTAGATTAAACAAATTTGTTTCCAATTAACAGTAATTTTGAAGAAGATTTACAATATCCAAAAGTGTTTGACAGACCACTGCAGGTTCCCTTCAAAAATTGTAACAATAGGTTAGAAATATAGTTGTCTGCCATTTAAAGGCCAAAAGAGGATAGCTTCATACTAGTATATCACAGCTAGATAGAATATTTTTATGGCAACCTCAATATATGAGCAACAAGAGTTTGTTTAGCTGTTTTATAATACTTTTAAATTTTACAAGCAATGTTATTTTAAGAGGAAGCTACAGCCTTCCCACAATCAGAATTAATAAAATAGGAGATTGGCCATAACTTCAATCAGGATAAGACTCAAAATATACTTATGTGGTTCTTACTGTAACATATGACCATGGGAAGACCTTGGAACATGACTTTCCTATCATTGCTCACTGAGCTGGGGGATATTTCATCTAACCGCAAGCCACATCCATCCCTGTCAACTTAATGAGAGAACACACATTTAAGGAAACAAAAGGAAATGGCTCTCCCTTGGGACCTAGCATTGTTAAATTGTCCCAAAGTGTTTTTAGTACATCTGTTTATGGTTCGTTCTCTGTTTCAATCTTTAAAAAAAAGTCACTAAAATTCCTAATAAGGAAAGTCTCAGTTGGAGGAAGGAGTATATACCAATTTTCACGGTTTGTACCACTTCATGTAAAAAACCCAGTCATTAGTTTCATGATTCACGCTTAATTGCAAGAGATGAAAATAACTTCCAAACACGACCTAAAATGTCCTAGAAGATATTCTTGGGAATCCAGTTACAGTACTGTATTATTGAGCTGCAAAATACTAACGACAAGTGAAACTTACGCTACTCCATTGTTTAGACTCTTTCTCCTCTTATCTGAGTGGCAAAGTAAAAGCCTCTGAATGTGCAATACTATTTTCAAAGTGTGCTGAAAGAACCAGGGGCTCAGCATATTTGTCCTAAGGCTGGGTTTTGGGCCTCCAGCGGTCAGTGCTCTTTTGTGCTGTGTCTGCGACACTGTTTATGAGGTATTTGGAGAGATTTATGAGTGTTGCTTCTAGAAATCAGATCCTCTGGTAGCCTGTGTGTTTACAGGACACTTACAAATGTGCTGAAATGTAGATTGTGAGCTCTCATCATTGCTGGTATTTTCAAACTTTCAAAAAAGAACATGGTGAAGGATAGAGGAGTTACATATGTTGGTGATAAGGGAATCATGGGAAGGAAACAACTGCAGGGAGATTCAAGAGCATCCTAGGAGTTGCCATGGCAAACTTAACCACTATGAGTGTTTTATTTTGAAGTGAAAATGGTGATGAGGGAACTTGGCTGAATTTCAGTCCTATAGTAATAGGTGCAAGTGTTTAAATTGTTGTGAAATTACTTTAATCTTTGACATTGTTTTCCACTTCTAAAGTGCCAATGTACAGTGAAGTACAACAACAATAAGAATTTACAGGCAAAATCAGCGGCAACTAGTACCCTGGAGAGGTACAAACAAGACTGCATTGCTCACTTCCACCCTCAGGCATCCCTACATGCGTCTAGCACACATGTACACACACACATTCATACACATTTCCCCTGCCCACCCCCATATTTATACATTCTTTCTATATACATATGTGTTTGGCTGTTCCACAGCACTTCCACGACAGCTAAATAATTGGATATGCACTTCCCTGGGTCTATGTGGCACCTTCCCTGCATTCTGTTCTTGCTTCAGTAGCCTCTCTGGCAACTGACTGCGAATATTGTTAGCCCCTACACTCTGCTGCTCTTGTGACATAAATCTGCCTGTTCCTCACTGGCTTCCTTCTAGTGCTATACTGAGAAGCTGTGCAAAGGCCCGTTTCTTCACCTGGGCTAAACATCAAACAGGTTAGCGTACAAAGAGAACAGACTCTCTAGAACCTGTTCATTCCAGTGTCATGTTTGCTCTACAGCCGGTTTTGCCATTCAGCGTGTCACAGATGGGCTCATGGTCCCCATTGCTGGAAGCTTGGCTGCCAGCAGGAACGTATCCATTGCGCTCCGTTAAGAGATTGAAGGTAAAGAACTGGCACGGGTCCTTTTGTCTGCTGCCTTCCTGTAAGGGGCTCAGGAAAGAGCTGGAGTTTTTCCATTCCTGGAATGTGCACATCTCGATATGTGGGTGAGTGACTTTGCTCAGGTAGCCGGGGCTGGGAGATGCTGAAGATAATGTCCTCTGACTGCCACTTAGGAAGCTCCCGCTGTCTTCCAGAGAGTCCTTCCTAGGGTGTTCAAAGGAGCACCGATTCCAGTTTCTGTAGCTGTAGGCCCACCACCCTGATTGCTTTCGACGGTGGCACTGGCATTTTAGGATCTGTATAAAAGCCCTCTTGAACTCTTTGCTTGAGCAAGGGTAGATAATTGGATTCAAGCAGCTGTTAAAGTAGCCAAGCCAAAAAATCACCTTGAAGATCGTTTCAGGGGGCTTCAGAGCCGAAAACAGAGATCCTGTCCAGAAGAAACAAGCAGAGACAATATCTAAGATAATTGGTTTGCCTGCCTTTAGGAAGGGTAAATGTCCCATCAGATCGACGTTAGAATCTGCTTATTAAAAATCCTTAATGCATGTTGCTTTCATTTTTGCTCTTTTGGTAATAAAATGTTTGTTATTTTTAAAGCTAATAAGGAAATGCTTTCCACCATCTGAAAGCTAAAGGAGCACATAATTAATGTAGAAATAAAAATTAAAAAGCAGTCCTTGTGTTTGTATGTACACATCTGTTGCACTAACATCTATTGATCCCAATAAAATATCAAACCTCCATTGTCCAAGCTCTTTCACAATGCACACACGGAATAAGGCCATGCCCTCTTCAAAGAGCTTTTGAATGCCATTTTTGAAGAAAAAGATCTAACTGTTCCCAGGTTTCCCAGAAGGAGTGTGTTCAGACATACCTTATAACTTCTAATATATTCTCTGGCAGCTCCTAAACATCACCCCAATTTATCTCAATTATTGTGATAGTACAAACCTTTTGAAACCTGAAGTTAATTGTGCTACTTCCCATATCCCAGGCATTCATAAAAATGGTGTAACCCAAAGAAAGAGGTTATTTTATGAATACTTTCTCTTCCATTCACAACCAAATAATTTCCCTAACCAGGCTGCCCAAATGAAAAACTCATACTGGGAAATCCATTTCATGTACTTTTAGTACTAAAACATGCAATTGATCAGCTAAATTTAGCAAATGGGGCTTTATAACAGAATGTATGACATTTTTTAAGCAAAACAAGCATTCAACAGTTATCCAGCTGGGAAAACACCTTTGCGTCTGGCTAAAGTAATCAAAGAGCAGGGATTCAGGAGAGAATTCTTATTTCAAGAACTGGAGTTAGATTTGAAGAGTTTTTCAAATGGAAGATGACACTCAAGCCTGAATATCACATCTCTGAGAAGAGCAACCTTTTACACCGGAGTGGTTTCAGATTCCCTGGACTGTGAAAGCAGCCGAGTCAGTTCTGACTCTAAGGATGCGTTAGCGGGGAGGGATATGATTCTAGGCATATTTCCCATCTCATAGGAATGTAGAGGCCATGGCTTGGGCCTCAAAACTATGCAAAAGCACTTCCTAGCTTCTTGGGTAAATAGCTGACAGCAGATACTGCTGTTTATCTAGGTGACAATGCTGGCCTGGCGCTGACTATAGGGGCCTGAGTCTCCTTAGCTCCAAGAAAGCCAAAGGGAGGTATCATTCCTCACACATCCACTGCCCTCCTCAGTGTGTCAACTAGTCCCTGAGGTGGCTCAGAAGAGAAAATAAGATCCTTAAATGGCATCAGCTATCTGGAGAGAGTCTTCTTACCCCTCATTTGGGCAACAGGAGTGAGGAAAGATCCTGTGAATCCAGAATACTAGACTTTTTCCCTGGCAGTGTTTTGGGATGGTGCCAGCTAGCACTAGCTCTACTATTGCCTCAGAGCTAAGCAACATGCTAGCCCTTAAGGTTAAAATAGAGGTTTTAAATTACAAGGTTCATAGTATTTCTTTCATGACTCCTGCACTTTACTGACTTTTTCTCCATGTGCAAGACTGTTGTAAGTTGAACCCATGTCCCTTATTGCTTTCTTGCTGCTAATGATTTGCAGGGTTTGACAAATGCCTCTGCTATCCATCTGATGGAGATCCTCCATCTGTCCTGACTGATACTGCAGAAAGTACAGAATACAACACATCTAACATCAGAGAAACTACAAATTGTATTTGATGAATTCCCAACAGATAAATCAAATCAATGCAAGCCCTTAAACTGTGTCATGTGAGTGTTACATGCTCTTTGATGAAAGATTCAGCAACAAGTCATGTGATTCTATGCAATAAGCCGTTAAATGGGTGTCAGATTCTTATAAAGCTTTAGGCAAAGTTGATCTACGTTTATAACTGTAGCCAAGATGAGGAAGATGCTCCAAAACCTCCCACATGCACATTTGCAAACCTTTTCAGGTTTCATTTTGTAAATAATTATTGCTAATACTTTCCCTTCAGTTTAGGGAAAAGAGAAGCTTTGTGACTTTACAAAACAAGTACAAAGCATGACTATGTATAACAAGGAACTTTTTTGAGCTCATACTGATAAATTTGTTAATTTTTTCTCTGGAACTCCTTTAAAATATAAATGACTTCTAGCTCTTAAAGCCCAGTAAAACTTGTGAAGTGGCTAAAGAGCTCCTATTTTTTCTTATGTTGAATGATCAGTAGTGAGTTTTTCTAGATCAGTTGGTTTGCCTTTCTCTCATACTGTAACAACTGAAAATCTACAGGACATTCCTCTAACAGATAAAAATATTTTTAGGCAGGTTAAATACAGACAGAGTAAAAGCTATGGTATAGTTTTCAATGAAAAAAAAAAATTAAGGAAGTTTACTGACAAATGTTGTGAAATTCCCTAGGGACAAATAAAATGAGCTAAGCTATAGAGAAGAAAACTGGTAACCAATGCAGATAAATGAGTTGTGCATGTATAATCTATATTGCACATGAACTGAATATAGCTACATATAGTAAAGACTAAGAGACCAAGTAGGGAAAAAGGTAAAAAGCTGAGCACTGAAAAATGGCTAATCTTTGTAAACTGCTTGAAGAAATATGTGTTCCTTAAGAAAAAAACGTAAGGAGCTTATGCCTATCTTTCATGAGAATCTATTTTTCAAATACCATTTGAAAAAAATGACAGCAGGCCACGTGCAGCAGCTGCAGCAAGCATTTTCAAAGCTCTTTTATATTAAAGAGCAGCAACATGAAAGAGCAGAGAATTTCCTCATAGCAGCCCTGACTGACAGAGGCACCTTGTGTTCCAGCCTGATTCACTGAGCCCTGATCAATCATTTAAAAGCTATCATGACTCTAGCTTAGTCATTAACAGAAAATGTGGAAATAGATCAGTTTGGAAAGCTATGTGGTGGTGTGATTTAAAAATAAAGATCGGCATTTAACTACAATAGTAGAAAAGTTTTGAAACTAAGAAATTCAGGAATAAGTGTGAAGGAGTTAACGAAAACATTGATCATTAAACACTACTTCATTCTCCATTTTTTCCTGGTTCTGCAGACAGCACAATGCAAGTGTTGCTTGACTCTTAAATTATACACAAACTAGTAGATTAAGTTTTCACAAGAAGGGGAGGAAGTATGCTTTTCGGAACAAGGAATATTAATTTGATAAATAAGCCATTGATTTATAGACTGGTGCGTTAATTGCTCTTACTCCAGACTGATGTATTAAAACTGGATAGAATTCTTCTTCGCTTCTTTACCCTTCCTTATATGCGCATATATATATATATATATGCAACTGCTCTGATCAGAGATGGATTTCATCTATGAATTTCGTCTATGGTATAATGCGCTATTACTTTCTAGTTTTTTCACAAATCAGGTGGTAGTCCCAGTGAGAATAAGTTCATATATAGGAGCATAACTCATTTGCTCACAGATAGCACTTTTCATCTGTAAGTCATCCTGACTTTGTGCCATCCTCCTCATTTTACTAGTGAGCAATCTGAGCTGGGGGAAGGTAAAAGCAATCAGCTGAAGGTCATGTGCTAAATAATTTTCACCATTAAGAAAGTTTTTGTTTTACTAGGAAGAGAACCGTCAGACCTGGCATGACTTTCTTAACCACTAGAAGTCACAGTGGGTAGTTCAAGTAGAACTCACAGTGCACATTCAAGTAGTGTGCTTGGTGGGTCCTGCTACCTTTGACAGCACCCAAGAAAAAGCAGAATTCAGGAATATTTTCTGAGATTAACAGAAACTGGTTGATGCATGTGATCATTTACATTGCTGGCCCTGCAGAGGCTATATGCAATGACTACATGATCACAGCAAAACTTCACCTATGAAGGGATCCATGGCTAATGAAGGGATCCTGCACCACCAACAGCTACAGATGCTCTGAAATGTAGTAGTTTTGTAATACAACTTTCATCATGGTGAAGGAAAAAGGACTGAGGAAAGACATGACAATTTGTCTTTAAAAACATAAAAGTTACCTGCAAAGAAGGAGGATACTAAAGTGTTTTCCATGTCCACAGTGGCAAATGTATGAAGCACAGTGATTTGAATTGCAGCAAGAGAAACTGAGATTATGGATTGGGAAACACTTTGTGTCTTCCAAGACAGGAAAATTCTGGAACATACTGCCTAAGAAGGGTGTAAAAATCCAACCCTGATGGCTCTTAAAAACAGAGTAGACACACATCTACTGATTTATGTAGCTGAGCCAGCCTTTGGGTTGGAGGATGCCCTGAATGACCTCTTCATATCCTTTCTAGTCCTACTTTCTCTGATTAACTCTGCAGAATATATCTGTGTTCATCAGGAAAACTTTATGCCTTAAGTTTTGGCAGCCCAGCAGAGTTTTACATTTGTGGTACTGGAATCCCGCTGACACTGTAGTCTTAGATCCCCTTGGTAAATATATCCATTATTTAGGTTGAGGATTAACTGTTAGAAAAATGGAATGTCCACGACAGATACTTATTTGGGCACTTATTCTCTTCAGGGCTTTGGAAAGTTTCTGAGTTTTTGTATGCAGTCCCTACTCACTGGGTGGAATCCCAGCCTGAGTTTTCTACAGAGAGAGAAGAAAATCTTCTTTATGATCCAGAAGGTGGTTTAGACGGATGTTGCTATATATGCCATGTACTTCTAAATATAGTTTAATTTGGTGAGTATTAGGCAAAGCTCCACTGCCTTTCACATATAAAGATACAAAAAATATTTTGATTAGCTTGTATATTTTTAACATTACCCTTTTCCCTACCTTATTCTTGGAATTAACAACAATACCTTTTATTTAGCTGCACGCATACTTTACCTCATAATTAACCTGTCAGGAGCAAACAACTGCAGGCTATTTTGGTACCTTGATAAAATGATAAAGCTAAGCCTACTAGACACACTCTCTAAACATTGGACTAATATTTCCTCCCCTAATCTCCAAGTAC